CGGCGGCGGTGGTTGCAGAGACTCGGCCCATTCACCAATTCCTGCAGGAAAGTCCGCACTGCTGGAACAGATCAGAGGGGGCGCTCAGTTGAAGAAGGTGGAGCAGAACAACCGACCCACGGTGACCAACACCGGACGAGACGCCCTGCTGGACCAGATCCGACAGGGAATCCAGCTGAAGACGGTAAAGTCTAAAACCCCAGAGTTGCTGGGTGACATCATCATCATCATCATCATCATCATCATCATCATCATGTCCTGTCAGTGACATTTCTCTGTTCACTTTTAACATTAACATTTACAGAGAAATGGACTTAAAAATAAGTAAGAGCCAAATTTCAGAGAAATTTGCCCAAAGTCTAGAAAGTTCCTTTTCTAAACTCTTACCTGGTTACAGTTTTATTGAAACTCATGGAACTTTTAGGAAACTTTTAGTTCAATAGGTTCAGTCAGCCATCATGCCCCTAGTGGTGTAAGACTGTAATAGCTGGATACTGGTGAGTACTTTGACCCAAAGCTGTCGACGTCCACACTCTAGTCGAAAATGATGGTAAGTAAAAAATCACAGATTTACTAAATTTGTTCTAGAGGAAACTGCTTTCCCAACTGTAAGATAATCAGTTCCTGTTCCCGCTAGAATTTATGGTCACCTTTGACATCATGATGACATCACGTTTGGTCAAGAATAAGACAATCTCTCCTTTAAGGTCGTGTATATTCCTGTACCAAACTGACCTGTGAAATGTGTTTTTGTGCAGGTGGCAGATACTCCAGAGTCCAGCCCGTCGACGCCGGCTCCTACTGCAGGCATCGTGGGCGCTCTCATGGAGGTGATGCAGAAGAGAAGCAAAGCCATTCATTCCTCAGGTATTTCTGCCGACCACGTTTTTACCTACAGTACTTCTGTCGTTTAAACTCACCTGACATAGACTCCGTTGTTCCACCGTCCCAAAAATCCCTTAAAGTGCCCAAAATGTCATCACAAATACAATGCAACATGAACTTGAAAGTTTTTAACTTTTTTGTACCTTGTTGAAACCAAATCCAGTTCATCAAATTGTTTTTACATTTTAAATAACTCCTTAAATGTTTTTTGTTTTTTTTTCCCCTGTCCTCATCCCCAGACGACGAGGAGGATGACGAAGAAGACGAGGACTTTGAGGACGACGACGAATGGGAAGACTAGTCTCCAACTGACCCCCGACCTGTCACTTACACTAGAGTATCATGTAGAAATCTTCCAGAATTTGACTAAAATTGTAATGTAAATGTTGTATGAATTTGCTGTATATTTATTTTTGCCTCTTTTTTTTTTTTGCTTTTTTTTAATGATGATGATTAATCTGTGCAATACCTCATCTGTTCAATCTTAACATTCACGTGCCCTCGCAAATCATTACAAATATCTATCATTAGAAAGCACTTAAGTGTCAACAGCACAATGTGGAGATGCAGCCGGCTACATTTCATTATTGATGAGAATAATAATAATAATATTTAAAGAAAAACTATATAGAAACGTGAAGCTGCTCCACCGAGAGTCTCTGACTGATCCTTGGGAAATTATTTCCGTGGTTATTTTCTTCTCGTCTTCATTCCTTGCGTGAGAAACATAAAAGGGAGACGTACGTCGTGCGACCAAACAGGCAGGATCCTCTTTGTGTTCAACGGTGGTTGACTTGAATGCGATAAAACACTATTTTCTTACTGTGTGTCTTTACCAACCTCTGAGTTACTAAACAAGTGGTAGATGTAGTTTAGTCATGTTACTTTTTTTATAAACAAACGAACATTTCATTGACCAAAACCTGGCAGCATAGATGCCTCATCTTTTTTTTTTTTCTTCTTCAAACTTTTATTATTGTTTTTTTTTTTTTAATGTAATTAAAGATGTTTATTTGCACACAGTTTCTAAGATAGTTGAGTTTCCTGGGATGTTTTTTTTTTTATTATTATTTGGGAGTTTGTCTTAATGTATGTTCTTTCAGGAAGGAAACTGTTCGTCAGAGAACACTAAAAAAACAAAAACGTTTCGAATGCGACCGCAAACGCGACGTTTGGACGTTAGTTTGACTTGAATCAAAGAACGTGTCTGCACACATGAACTCACTGTGGCATTTAGTGAAACAACGGGAGATTCGTCTGTTCATTTCATTTTTTTGTTTTTTCGCCGTTTTGCAGAAGGAAGCGTTAACATTTCTGTTAAAAGATGTCAGAAGCGATAGATGTAAAACTCTCCCCCGTCCTTTGTTGTCGCCCTCATCTTATGCAAAGCTACTGTAAATGCCTTGACGTGAGAAGATTCTATTACAAAAAAAATATTAATAAATAATGAACCAAATGTGGCATTTTCCAGCAGCTTATCGGTTTTGGCGATGCCTGTGATCCATCAGCTTTTATGGTGCAAAAATAAAAACAAGTCAATAAATCAGCACCAGTTTTAACTGTCCAACATTAGGGTTGTCTCCAACCTCCAGCCAGGCTTACTGCTGCATCAAGAAGCCAAGATACTGACACTGAACCTGTGAAAGGGTTGGGAAGAGGGGAGGGGCCGGGGGGGGTGAGTGGACTAAATTGTATACTTAAATAAATGGTAATATTTACAGAGAAATCTGTGTCTTTTCTTTTGTGAAGCTGTTTCCTCCAAACGTGCAGTGAACTAATAATGTTTTTCTAGCATTTTTTAAACACATTTTTACATATTTTTTTCTCTCTTTTTTTAATTTTTATTTATTTATGTTTTGTCTTAATAGGAATCCCAACGGGACTTATCCGCCTGCATCTCCATCAGTGAAACCTTTTTGGTAGCATTAGCCTGGACATTGACTCATCAGGTATGGCAGTCATTTTTTATTCCCTACAGTAAGTTTGTTGTAAGTTCTTGGTTTCATTCAAATCTCCGATGTCTTTTATAGCATCGTGTACCTCCTTATCACCTACTTCATTATTTACATCCAGGACATCCAGGACAAAGGTTATGTGGCCGATGTCCACGGTCGTCCTCTGAGGTTGAAGTCAAATCACTGTCGTCTTAATGCTGCAGCGTCTTTCAACACTCCGGGATTTTATTTTCCCCCAATTAAAGCCGTCGTAACATTTAGATGGCATTTCATCAAAGGTGTGAAATGCTGTAATGAGGGAGGTCTGTTAGTCACAGCAAATCCCTGCAACTCCCTGAGGGACGGACGGGGGACGGGGAGGTCTGTTAGTCACAGCAAATCCCTGAAAGTCCCTGAGGGACGGATGGGGGTTCTTTAGTGCCTGGATTAGAAGGTGATTCATGCCCAGATAAATGGAGCTGGAGCTCTGCTGCTGAAATGGAGCTGAGCCGATCTCTGTTACACACAGTTATAATAAAGAGACGTACAGTGTTGCCAGATGTGGTGTGAAAAACAAGCACAAAAGAAGTGACCCCACCCACCGTGATCCCTGTGGCCTCACGTAGTAGGATAGAAAGGCGACCTATTTCATACAGATCAGTTTGTCTGTCACATGGTAACCAGGGACAACGACCCGACGACCTCCGCTTAGTTTGAAAGACACTGGATACGGATGTAAATCTAAATCTTATAATGTCAGATCATCCAGACAGCCGTTGATCTCAGTGACTATTTTTAGATTTTCTTCAACAGAACAAGATGTCAGTTTGGTCAATTATGATCACAACCTGAAAGGGCAGAAAAAAAGAGAAAAAGAGCAGCTCCGTCAGTCACTGATACACCGCTGACAAACGAGTGGCAGCAGCTCCGTCCGTCACTGGTACACCGCTGACAAACGAGTGGGTGTGGTCCAAACATGGAGACTATTAGTTAATACCTTGCATGGGTCCATTTGGGGGACACCGGTCGTGGAGGGGACATTTCTCTGGTCTCCAGAGTGAGAGAGGATTTGGGGATTTGAGATGTTAGTTTGAAGTTGGGATTAGAATTAGGGTGAGATTAGAGCAGTGGTTCTCAATTTAATTTAATGTCATGTCAGGCTTGTTATCGTTCAAGCATCACAGCAGTGGTACACGTGTGTAATATTACATTGGAAGCCCCTCACGCCTCCTCTGGCAGCTCACCGCGCCCTCCCCAGGGGGTCCGCCCCACTATTTGTGAAGTACTGGATTAGAGTAAGTGTAAGGGTTAGGGTTCGTCAGTTATCTGATGTAAAGGACCTCGTGAAAACATTCTCTCTGTGTGATCACAAACCACATCAACCTGTTTCTGTGGGGGGAGCGAGGGGGGGGGCAGTGGACCGCAGCTGCCATGTGATCATGTTACACACTGTGTTATCCTGTGTGAGTGTGTACTGCACTGTAATCCCTCCACGAGCTGCTTTTATTAGAAAATACATTGCACTGACACCATCGCTGTCAGGTCGAGGCGTTTGCATATTTTTATTGAATAAATAAAAATCCCCAACAGAGTAGTTGCTAAGATCATGTGACCATTGTTTGTCTCTGCAAAAGCACAGATACTGTGTGTTTATTTATAAAAGAGGGAAAGAAGTTTCATCTTCAAAACACACCAGGTGGAAAAACAGCAAATGTCACACTCATGGGTGAAGGTTGAAGGAGCTTTTATCTGTTTTCATCCCTCTGATGTTTAACCTTCCTCGGGGCAAGAAGCGTGCTACGATTTTAAAACAAAATAAATAAGGAGGTCGTTAATGTCTCTGAAAACAGACCTTCTCTGATGCAGGTGAAGACAAAAGACAAAGGTGTAGACGAAAACTTTTATTTTTTCACATCAGTATTCAGCGGATGATTCACACTAAAAAAAATATGGCTTTACTTAAATTATGGAGGAGGTTCAGTCTGCTGCGTCATGGTGTCAAAGTCAGAAAGGAAACGCTTAAAAAGTGACATTTACTGTGAGATACAACTCAAATATACGAGCAGAAAGTGAGAAAAGTTCAGGTGTGATCCTCCTGGTGTGATCAGGTCTGAGACAAATCCACCTGAAATTAGACAAAAACAAACAAAACAAAGCTCAAATCATTACATTCAGGTTCACCAAATACAAAAGAAATGCTGCTGTTGCTTCCGGTGCCCACTGGAGGGCACAAAAACGAAGAATTGAACTTTTTATTGTAACCTTTCAGCATTTTCATGTCAAACTTATTTTAATATTTTTTAATAATTTTCTCATAATTAATTTTTTTTTATTTCAGTTTCAATTGAAATGACGCGGGTCATTCTGGATTTACCTCCAGTTGCCTTTAGATGGCGCTGTGAATGTGAGTGTTTCCAAGGTATAATGTTTGGACATTGAATTTGTTGACAGTTTTGGAAAACACAAATTTCTGAATTTGTATCATGTTGCTTTGTTTATGGCCCTGTTGCCACTAGGTGGTGCTGTTTAAATCTTGGTTATACGGTGACTTATCCCCAGTGTCAGCTGGTATTTCTTGCAGCTCTTTTGGTGGTTTATAAATATGCCTCCTTATCAGGGTATTTATGATCCATGTGCAGCAGCAGCTGTGGAGGTAACACTGTAATGTCTGAGTCACAACAGTCCAAAAGTTACTGCATCGCTGCATGGGCTCAGCGTTTCCTCTCTGTGGGGAGCGCCGTCGTTATGTGATTGTGGACAGATTTGAAGTGCACACATGGGCTTCCACACATGTTCTCTAACTGGTCAGAAGAGGCTCCACGTGAGCAGACAAATGTCCGCTAACGGGGCTAACGTGGCTCCGCACATGTGCCAGAGCAGTCAGTCCTAATTCAGATCTGTAGGAAAAATTTAAATGAGTCAATAAAAAAAGATCAACAGAATCCTCCAGACCAGGGCTCCACCTCGTCTGTTCTAACTCCCCCAGGTCAGGATTCCTCTTCCCTACGCTATCTCTACTGCAGGGGTCACTATAACTGTATTTGTTGGAGGGACAGATATTTCTGGACAGACACTTTAGGTCAGGCATGGGCAATAATCATTTTTATTTTGTTTCTGGACTAAATCTCAGTTACACGGATGACTCACTTTTTTTCTGTTTCTTTTTCTTTTTTTCTTTTTTTTTTTTTGGTTTTGCAAACGTATTATTTTGTCCAAATACTGTTTGTTCTGATTATATTTGCGGCCGCAGCTCTGTTTTCCCAGCAGGCCTCTGAATCCTCCGTCTTATCAAAGGCCGGGGAGGAAGTGAGACTATTTATAGCCCGATTGAGAGACGAGGAATTTGCGGAGACGAGATACGGTTGTCTAATGACGGCGGCTCTCTCACTGAGGGAAGTCTAATGGCTTTTGGAGGCTTAGAGTCTGTGATGCTGTGACTGAAGCAAAACTAAATCCCTCCAACCCCAAACACACACCGGTCTTACCCTCTTTAAGGAGTGGACGCTGCTTCCACGGATCGCCGCCATCAGGTCATCCCGACTTGACCTCTGTGGTGGCGGCAGATGGCCTGGTTCAGCTTGTCTCTTGTGCAATGACGGTTTCAAGGCATTTTTCAGGTCCTTGAGAATGTCAGCACTCTCCTGTTCATTGGTACCGTTTTTAAATTTCTTCACCTTCGTTTTTCCGTGGGTCGACTGACTCTTGACGCCCTCGTGCTGTTTCACCGTTTCAGCGATCTTCCTCGTTGGGGGGTTAGGAGATGAATGAACGTTCTTGTTGTGTTTCTCAACAGTCTTAGAAAGACGTGTTGGTGCTGATGGTTTTGGACCAGAAACCTTTTCCAGCAGCTCTGGAGGCTTTTGTTCCTTCTTCTGTTGAAGCCTTCTCTGCCGCTGCTGGTCCTGGTTTCGTGTCAGGATGCTGGTCGCTGTCATTCTTGGTCCTGGAAGGTCAAACTGGTAGCCCAGCTTGAGCAGAGTCGTGTTCTCTCGCAGTAACCGCACCATCTCCATCTCTGCCTTCCCTCCACAGATGTGCCTCTGGTTGTGGAAGCGGAGCTCCATCAGTGTCCTGTTGTGCCTCAGCGCTGCCAGCAGGGCCAGGATGCCTTGACCCGACACAAAGTTGGACTCGATGTTCAGGATTTTGATGGAGCAGTTCTTGCAGAGCATCTTGGAGAGAGCGAACGCCACCTGGTCGTCAGCGTGAGTGTTTGCGAGACTGAAGACGTGCACGTGAGCGTTGGTGCTCAGGGCTTCGGCGAAACGTATCAAGGTCTCCTGGGAGATGTCTTCGATGTTGTTGAGGTTGACTTCACTCATGGTGGGATCACCCGTCAGGATCTGCTCCAGAGCTTTGTCGATGACGATGGGGTTCCCGCTTGGTCTCTGAGGGGCTCCGTCCAGGTTTTGGTCTGTATTTTCTGTCCTCATTTCACCATTAAGATCTTGGTTCACAACGTTTTTCGGTGGAGATTTACTCCTGGTAGGAGCCGTTGTTTTTTTACGATCTTCCTTCTCTGACTTTGTTGGTTTTTCACTAAAACAGCATTTGGTTTTCTGCTCTTTGTTTGTCACCGTGGTGGCGTTATTATCCAGGTGCTTTTCAGTGTTTCTGCTGGTAATTGACACCTGGTCCTTCTTGGTGGCCTCTAGCCCCTCCCCCTAGACATGATGATCGTACAAACACGGGTCAAATTCACAATTTCATATCTTTGGTGCTTAATTAAGATTAATTTTCCTATACTTGACATTTCTAAGCTATCATTTCTTCACAATGAGATTATTTCAGCAACAAATGCTAATATAGATCATATCTGAAAAACAAAAATAATTTTTGTGGATATTTTTGTGGATATCCGCTCTCACCTGTCCAGTGTTGGACTCCTCGTTCTCACACTGTTGCAGAACCTTGTTTTCATCTTCCCAGTATTTCAGCAGCGCTTCCCTGTCAAAGGTTCCTGTAGGAATTTTGGCCGTCTGGTCTTTTTGCCTCAGGCCAATGGGCACGTTGTGGTCAGGGTCGAGGTCAGCCAGCTCCCGTTCCAGCTCTTGGAGCTCCTCTGAGGACAGCGTGGCCAGTAGTTCTTCTTCATCCAGCTCCTCATACTTCTTCAGTTCCTTGCGGTACCCAAAGGTACTCATGGTTCTGTTTGTCCTTCTCTTTCTCCTGCCGTTACTTTTCTTTCTTTTCCTTATCGACGTTCTCTCCCGATGTCACTCACTGGCTCGTCTCTCCTTGGATTCCTGAAGATCAGAGATGTTTTGGACGACTGGTGACTCCGAGTTCATCTACTGGTCCCCTGCAGCTGCCACAAGACTCTTGAGGGGAGAGAGGGGAGGGCCGTCGGGCTTCTGATGGTACCATCTTTTTTTAGGGTGTGTGGAGTGTGTGTATGTGTGTCTGAAAGGATGTCTGCGAGGCCGGCTTACTACTGGAATGTGAGTTCTCTGAGTGGCCTGTGATGAGAGCTCATCCACCACCAGGGCTAGGAGGAAATGGAAGAGAGGAGAACTCTGTGGGGAGACGTCGGTGATGAGGGTTTATGTAACAGAAACACAGTGTGGATGTGGAAATGTCAGGAAAACACTTGTTCTCCCAGGGGATGATGGGAGTTTGTACAGTACAGCTTGGTCTGGCAATGGCACCATCTGGAGTTTACGTCGATTATTTCAGACAGGCTAACAATTACACTGTGTGTCTGATTAATGAGGCAAAAAAATCAGAAAAAAGACAACGATTTGCACTCAACTTACTCCAGATTCTCCAGCATGTGATGTCACTCACACATTTAATTAAAATTGAATACTTTATGTAAAAATAATTTTACCAAATCCTCCCACAATGCTCTTTTAAATCAACTTATAAACCAGTGTTTCCCACCTTTTTTTACTGGCAGGAATTGAAGGAAGACACTCACAAAGATCTTCACCAACAATCATAGGCAAGACACTCACAAAGATCTTCACCAACAGCCCTGATTCTCTTTTTTTTCATAGGCGTTCATAGCCATCTACTGCCCCCTAGCA